TTCTAATGAGAGTGAGCTAACCAGGCTGGATTTCAAGCTTGCAAGACTTCCAGCGCTGCACACTACAAAAGCTCCCATGCTGTTTGAGGTAATTGCTCTGGAGGGGATGAAGTTTTATTTGTGAATAACAAAACTGACTTTAGTTCATCTTAGGTGGAGGTTCACAAAATGTTCCAATTCTGATACCAGTTTAATTACAAGGACAGGAATTTATATGCAGTTGGCGTAAAACGGATCCAAAATTCATGTTTCCAGTTATAGTAAAAGAAATTTAAATGACTGTCGCGTTGCTTTACCTTCTTCTTTATTTTAGTGTTGGAAGTTGGTTTTGAATTTGTGATTTGCCAGAGCCGACATGAAATGTGTTCAATTTCTTTTGCATTCTTCTTTTAACAAGGCTGAAACTGGGAAACGGTCTGCAGGCCAACAAAAATGTCAGAGTTAATAAGCACGAGTAAATCTCCTCTGTGGGCAGCAATTAAACATAGTCTAGTCTGAGCTCACTCCTCCAAAAAAAGATGTTGAGATCGCTTTCAGAGTTAATGCATAAATAAACATCTTCTTGACTCCTTTCAATACCACGTAAAGCCTCTCGACTCTCCAGGACTTACTTTCCACTTGGTGGCCAATTAAAGCCATCAATCACGCCCAGCTACTTCATAAATCTTTGAAGCATATCAGGGTTTTTTTTTTTTTTTTCAGAAATTTGGGGGGGGGAGCAGTGAGCTAAACCGGTCCCAGAAGTAATTCTCTGAAGCAGCTCATCTTTAACATCTTTAATAATCTTTGATCCAGTCTCAGTTCTGATGCTTGTAGTTATTGCTTATCTACAGTTGGTGCTGAGCATTCACCATGAGAAAATTAATGATGAAAGTTCCCTTGTGCCTCCTAGGAAAATAGATGTAGTTCTCTGCTTGTTCTCTGACTCAATTGGAAAAATATGGCATAAAAGTTTGGTTCGTCTAACTTTTTTTAGGGGAAAAAATATAAAACAAAACCAAGCAGACACAAATGAATGATAATAGCATAACCTTTCTGAAAACAGACAAGGATAAAGAACAAACAAGAACAAAAGTCAGTACCTTTGGGGTTAGAAAAGTACTGACTTCAACTCTATACATATATATATGTTTTACGGATGCACAATATTGGGATTTTGGCCGATATCCGATATGCCGATATTTTAAAACTCATTTAGCCGATAACCGATATCGATACCGATGTTAAAGCTGGACAAAAATAAGTAG